AGAAAGACCCAGGATTCCGCTCCCGACGGAATATGAGGGTGTCTTGTGGGTAAAACATTTATAAGAAAGCAAATGTCAAATTTGGTCAAAACTTCAGTTTGTGGACTTTTTTGTGATAAAGCAGCGCTGTCAGTGCCCGTTTCCTGTGGAGCGGGCAGGAAAGACTCCCGCGCTGTGTGCGGCCTGCCAGTCTTGATACTCGCGCTCCTCGCACCCCTGCTGACCTGCCTGAGCCCCTCCCCCGAGTGCCTGTGGCACCCTCCCCTCTTGGGGGCTGAGCAGGGGGCACTCAGTTGACCGGCAGGCCTCTGGGACAGATCTGGGCCGTGTTTCATCTTGGCAGGGGGAACTGGCATCTTGTTCCACTGTTCGGAGGCGCAGGACGTGATCGGCCCCGTGCTTCAGGGACATTGGATCTCCACTGAGTCTGCAGGGCTGAAGCTGCTGTAGCACCTCGCTGCTGACCTGTGAGTGACCGGGTGTGGTGATCGATAGGAGGCCTGGAAGGGTGAGACGCGAGACTGCTTACAAACGAGAGGAGCCATTCGGCCCATCCAGTTAGGTAATTGGCAGCCAATTGCTCCAAGGGTCTCATACAGCCTTTTCTCTCTGTTGTTGCTCTCTGCTCAATCGGCACTGTACATGGAGCACTTTATGCACGAACTCACTGTTCTTGTCTCCAGAGTGTGGCTGTTACAGATCTGCTTACAGCCTCGCTCATGAGCAACATTGTCCAGGTGCGAGACACTGTTCCAAATGTAACGGAAACCTTCTGAGAGAATTGTTGTAATTCATATCACTGCCTTAACTGTAAGACTGCCTTTGAGTACAAGGTCAGCAGGCTCCTGAGGCCTGTGCCGTCTCAGTGATTCCCTGTGCAGGTTCAGTCAGGGATTTGCCAGCTCAGGTATCGCGAATCCCACCAGTACTTGGCCTGTCAGGGATCCTTGATCCCGGTCGACCAGTGGCATGGCCCTGCTTGACCCATCATACCTGTATATATATTACTTATAGGTTTCAGTGTTCTCTCTGGTTCTCTGGAGCATGTGACTTTAGGGGCTGAACCACTGGGAGGCATGGAGAGGCATTCCTTATTTCAACTGCGGAGCATTCACACTAGTTCTGTTACCTTCGATGACAGAGACTAATGCATATAGGATATGTATCATTAAAAGGCATGGATTGGAGCCAGACATAAGAAATATTGCCAAGCTTTTCACATCAGGACTTAAGTTCTATAGTTTTTGGGGTGTGTGTGGGGGTAATATTAGGTCTAAATAGCTTTTAAATGTGTTATGAACTATTTCGCTAATATTTTGCGTCCGAAACTGATAAAAAAAAACCTGCAGCTTTTGTTTGTGACATAATTATTAGTAGCAGCAAAGTTGAACAAAATGTTTGGCTAGTGTGGTTTAGCACTTGATGGCGCTGGGCTTTGTCTCTGCTGGTAGTGGCCTATAGGAGACTTGGTGTCTATAAGGAAATGCATTGAAATGCAGGTTTTGGTTTTGCTTTGTTCTGCACATTAAAGCATAGATCTGTGATGGCTGCTTCGTCAGGGACAGATTGCTCTCAGAAGATTAATGCTGTTCGTCACTGGCCTATGGACCCGGCGAATATGGTATTTGTTCACCGAAAACCTCACTGCTGCCTGGTTTGCATTGGTTGCCTTTACTGGTGGCTTATCCTTTAAAGGAGACCGTTGTGGTGTTGGGCTGTGAGAAAAGCAGTCCCCTTCTTCCTTATTTATAGAACGTTTTCTGCTTCATTTAACACTTGGAGCCCGTCTCCCTGTCATGGCTGTGTGCCAAGATAGCTGTACCCTGAACTGTGTTGTAAAAGTTCCCCGTGTGGCGCGGAGCTTCGGTTTGTTAATCGACCGGTGTCCATAGTACTAAAGGTTGTTTTTTTTTCCTTTCCCATGGGCTTTAAAATACATCCGCACTCTTCGTTGCTTTAATTATAAGGTGATCCCCACCTGATTGTTGTAAATAATTTTTGGGTTTAATTTAATAAATAAATCTGGATCTGTCTGGCTGTTGTGTCTCCTTTCTTGGGCTTTGACAGGGTGCTGTTATGTCTAAGGAGAGGGTGTTGTTGTGGCCAGTATGGTTCTGTTCTCTTGACCATGTGCATGAAAGTCACAGTCCTGCATTTTGCCATGACTAAACCCTTTGTATATCTTGAAAAATGAGTGATTTTTTTAGGTATTTTTTCATTCTTATCTTTTGAATCTGACAATATCGCCTGAAAGCTTAGATCTCAGCCATTTTCTATCCATCCTAAGTATCTGTCTAAGTAAATTGAAGTTTACTTTCTTAATTGTTCACCTGCTCAGGTGGTCCCAGTGTTTAAAAGCAGGAGACCTACACTTGACTGGGATTTTCGGGGACCTGGGTTGGAGACTCTGCTCCAGGCGGTCTGGGCTGGAGATTACTTTGAAGGAGGGGGTGTGTGTAATAAGGGTGGTGGCTGCTGTGTCTCTCCCGAGCTGTAGTACCCTGTTCTGTTTATGTGCGTCAGAGCATGGCTGTCGGTCACCTGCGGAGGTGCTCCTCTGCCCATCCACTGTCATTCAGCCACCTCCCTGTGAACAGCCAGGCCTAGTCTGATCTCTGTGTCCAAGTATGAAAGAGGTCCCATCTTGGCTTATTCATTTCCACACGTGTTTCAAGACTGGCAGTGCAGGAGAGGCCCCGGTGTGACGTCATCGCTCCTAGTCTGGCAGGGGCGTGTGAGAGAGTGTGTGTGCTGTTATCAGTGAAGGCACGGTTCATGGCACTCGTCTAATGAGCTGAGACCCCAGGTTCCCAGTTCCCTGTAGGCTCCCCTTGTTTGCTGGCTGTGCTCCTGGGCTCTGATCACCAGTGCCGATCAGTGCCTGGGCTGATTTGCTTGCTGATGTAACTGAATTTTTGCCCTCAGCGCTTGTTTTCAGAACTACCTCTAGTTAAAGTGCATTAGTTCAGCAGCTTAAGCATGCCAAATTTTATACAGTTTCTCCTCAGTTTGCTAATTTTTCAGTCCCTCCGTTTTAACTGAATTGCTCCTGAAGGGTGATCAGTCGGTGGTGAACAGTCAGTGGGTTTCAGCCACTCCCACAGTGGGTTGAGTGATCTTCCGTCTGCTTCAGTCCAGCGTGTTACATTTCCAGCTAGCACATCTGAATGAAGGCCGTCCTGAAACAAACTGATCAGCACAGGGTTCATGCCAATTTTGAATCTCCTTCAGTTTTTTGAGAACTAAAAATACTTTTAAAAAGGTCTGAATAGAACTTTGAAGTAAGTTGGCCTGCATGAGAACTGGTGAACTAGAGCACAAACTAGCCTATAGAGGAGTCCTCCAGGACCAGGGTTCAGGACCACGGGTCTTGAAGGATGGATTGGAAAGTCCAGAGACGGTTCTGTTGGGGCTCCTTCCGGTCCAGTGTGAGTTCGGTGAAAGCAGCCGTCCCAGACCTCCCTGGAATAGGGAAGATAGAGTGAAGTCTCTCTCCTCAGAACATTTTTCAATCCATGCCCCTGTAAAGCTCAGAAAGTTTCCGTTTTGCCCTTGTAAATAAACTGCATTTCTTTAATCACAATGGTAGGTATAAGGGTAGCGAGTAATTGGTTGCAGCAGTTTACAGCTAATGAATGTTTCCTGTGGGGCAGTCTCTTCGATCTGTAGCGGTGAAGAATTTGGAGACGCACCAAAGACCGTTCGAGTCTGAGGGCAATGCTGCTGTTGTAATTAGTGCAGTTCCCTCAAGAATAAAAGAAAGACCAAAACAGTTTTAAACACATTTTCTACATTTTGCCGCCCCTGGGTTTGGAGTATTTTATTTCCTTACACTGTTTATGCTTAACATTTTAATCCAGTCTGCCTTCTTTTGGTTTCTCATCTATCTGCAGTGGATATAATAAAGCTTGAGAAAGAAACATCTTGTACTGTAAGTGTACCCAAATAAGACCTGTTCTGTGATGGTTGGGTCCTGGTTTGCAGTAAGAAAATTACTGTATATTCATGTGCTGTAGCTGCTTAGAAATGGTTTGGACTTTGTGGGTGAAAATATTCTGTGGTTTTAATTGAAGGTCAAGTGAGGACAGTCCATAGCGCAACCGCTCTAGGATCAGCATGTGCTGGTTCTGATTGGTGTACAAACTGATTTGTGTTTTTGTTGCAAATGTTCATGGCGAAGGTATGGTGCTGTGGAGAGGTATGATGTTATGAATTCAAGTGGCAAACCGTGATCAAGAAGGACATGGTAATGTGTGATGCAAGTATGGAGACAACTGGGAGGACTCGGGCTCCCCAGTGTCTCAACCAGTGGCTCCAAATGCAAGGTTGAGCCTCTCGTTCGGAATGTCAAGGGGTTGAGCCCCAGTCAGGACACCGAATCCCTGGGTCTAGAGGTCAAGGGTTCGAGCCACGGTAAAGGCACTGAACCCCTCGGTTCCAGAGGTCAAAGGTTCAAGCTGCAATAAGGGCACTGAGCCTCTGAGTTCCAGAGGTCAAGGGTTCGGGCCACGGTCAGAGCACTGAACCCCCTTGGTTCCAGAGGTTAAGGGTCCGAGCCGCGGTCAGAGCACTGAGCCTCTTGCTTCCAGAGGCCAAGGGTTCGAGTCTGTGTCATGTCACTACCCAGCGGTGACCAGGACTCGCCGAGTGTCAGCTCACAACTGAGTGAGTGCCAGCGTGGGGTTAGAGTGGCTCATGATCTCCGTCACTTGTTTGTATCAAAGCTCCTGCGATCTTCTCGGCAGTCGCAGCGTGAGAGACATGCATGCCGCACCTCTAACTGGCACCCAGTCTCGGGCCCGTTTGGACCTTACAGCGTGGCTCCGACCTGGGCGGATCCGCAGCTCTCATCACATGACACTGGCTGCCATGAAACCCAATTAGCGATTCCTTCTAATTAGATTAATTAGGGTACTCATTGGAAGGGGCTGTCTGGCTGTTCTTGAGCTCTGTTGCAAGAAGACTCATGCCTCCCTGTTGGTGTCTGCTTGCCTCTGCAGGTATTCCAGTATGAGTCGAGGCGGATGGAGGAAGAGAGCCGGGGAAGAAGATGGCTGGGGCGGCAGGGTGCGTACAGATTGCCCTTACCTCTCCAGTGTTCAAACCTTCTTGCTAGGGCTTGCCGGAGGATGGTCCCTGTCTGCAAAGATAAAGAATTGCAATGAAACCAGATCAGGCTCCAAGGTGGTAATGCTGCTCGTGAACACCTCACACAACCAATTGTGGCCAGGAAACACATCCATTGAGATTCTAGTTGTGCAGCAGTCTTGAGCCGCTTCAGATTTGGCACAGATATTTCAGTTTAGTAAATCTGCATTGATGTGCACAAAGACCTGATGTGATGTGGGGTCTTTGCTCTGATGGTGCAGTTGGGACAAGCCCTTTCTACACAGGTACGCCAGTCTGTTGTACAGTGGTCTTTGCTGGAAGGAGACCGAGGCAGACAACAAAGGAAGATAGGGGAGTTATCAGAAGGAGTCAAACCGAGAAAACCAGGATTGTCTTCTTCTTGTATTAAACGGTTCTCGAGCTAATGGGGACAAAGAAGAGGACTGAGATCTCAGGCTCTGCTAGGTCTCGTAGACATCTGCGGATCCTCACAAAAGTGATGAGCCACAAGTTCCGTTTCTCCCCTGGTGTGCCTAGACAAACAGGGCATCTGTCCCCACTTCTGAGTGCCGCTCACAATCAGAGCAGAATCGACTACTTACGCACTCGGTGCTTCCTTGCTTAAGTCAGGGTGTTGCTAATGCTTCTTTGTTTTGCACGTACAAATATCATCCAGTTGCGGCAGTTAACCCATGAGGAGAAGAATGTATTTTAACCGTCTCCCCCGTGTACAGTTTAACACACCGTCACAAAGTTATTATGAGGAAAAGCAAAATAGTTTTCAAGTCATTCGCCTTCAGTAAGTCCCAGGTTCCCCGGCGGCCGCAGGTAGTTGAGGCGAGAGGGTCCCCTCCCAGCACTGCCGTTACTGTAAGCTTGCCAGTGTCGCCGTTTCTCCCTCCTCCCACTTGCACTGTGAGCCGTGGCTTGGGAATCCCGGTCTCGCTCAGGCAGTGACGAGAGCCAGACTGATTGGCAGAGCTTAGCCCGTGAGGTGCGAAGTCAAGGTCAGCGCCTTTACCAATTGAGCCGTTTTGGAGCTTTCTTCACGGTTAATTATTTCTATGTTTAAGAGCATTAAAAAGCTTGCAAATGAGAGGAGGTCATTTGGCCTGTCCCGCTCATATTCATTTAAGCCATTGGTCATACCCACCCATTTCCTGAAGGAACCCAGGGTATCGGTTTTAAATACCATGCCTGGGTGGCCTGTCCTGCGCTCCCGACCCAAAGGTTTGGGTCTGGTATCCAAATACTAAAATATCCAGGGAAGTGCTTTTGCGGCCCTGTAGACCTGCCCAGCAGGAAGTTCCAGCAGTGATGGTGGGTGCAGCTCTTCCTCGCTTGTCCTCTCCCCGATCTGTTTTTTCAGTTGCCTGCAGTCTTTCGCTTCCTGTCTCTGCCCTTCCAGACGCTGGCGGCGTTTCTTGTCAAACTGGCGGCGGCGGCGGCACATGGCAGCTGAGCCACGGTCGTCATGCCTTCCCCTTGTCAGTATTTCATCCGGCCGCTGCAGAACAGGGAGCCCGGACGCAGCACAGCTCGTTTTACATCTGCGTGATGCAGACGTAGCCTAGAGCAGGAAAACTCAAAGGAAGATTTAGATGTTCAGAATCAAAGCTGACCTTTTTTTTTCCACATGTACCCATTCCCAGTAGGTCATCAGCATTTTTAGTTTGTGTTACCGTTGCTCATGCAGCTGTTATTAGATGCTATTGACAGCGGTTTACCCGTTGTAGCCTGAGGTTGTGTGATCTGAGAACCTAAGCAGTTCTGAGACCCTGCATTTCCGGGTTGAGAGACCTTCAAGGATAACCTTGACATTGGTGGACCTATAGGTGGCGCTCATCTTTATTGACAGGAATTTCCAAACCGATTTCACAGTTTGGTGACCGGGGTCAACAGTGCTGTAGGAGGTGACATTCTTTAGATGAGACATTAGGCTGAGATCCTGACTGTGAATGTAAAAGATCCCAATCGCTCTGTTTGTAAGAGTAAGAGTATAAATTTGGGAGTCCTGGCAAAGTTCTGGGTTTCCATAATCTTTCCTCCCTCAAGTCCCCCCTTATTTCAACCTGGGGTTGCACTTCAGTGGTGAATGAAACAAGCCCCCTCCTACAGTATATGTAATATAACGCACTATTCTGTGAATGTCTTTCTTGGTATGAGAAATTGTGTTTGTTTGAAATCTAATCCTGAAGACTTGAAAACATGCAGACTAAACCACCATCGCCATCCAGTCTTTTTGGAGAAGACGGAACAGCATTCATCCATTTTCATGTCACAGTTTTCCTTTGTGGGAGTGTGAGTCTAGAAGTCTCTAATTTGTACTGGCTTGCAAATTTTTATATCGTCCAAACAAGAACTTAAGAACTGACCCATTAATAATTAAACATTTTTTTTTATGTTTTCTTTTAAGTAGGACAGTTGCTCTTGATAATCAGTGCTGGTACTGATACCATTTCTCACCAGTGGCTGCACTTTGTATTCCATTCATGTGTTTAAAGTCTGAATTACGTTATCTTGAAGAAAATTTAAAAAATCTATTATCGCAAAAGAATCACACCGATAGTTCTTCTGTAGTATATAGTATATCTTTATACTATAGTTCTTCTAGTATGTTTGTTTTTTTGTGTGTTAATGGTAGCTTTTAATAGGTGTGGCTTAGCTTTCAGGAGAAGTCCGGTTAGTTTTCATGAATGGGTTGTGGAAGTCAGGAGCAAAAACTGCTCAGTGATGTTAGATAAGATCACTTTATTAGCCATAGACAATTTCTTGCATTAGGAATTGGTCTTTTTGCATACCCCAGCTTGCTCTCCATGAGACACACAGATGGGCAGAGAGAAGCTTGGGGTCAGAGCGCAGGGTCAGCCATTTATATGGTGCCCCTGGAGCAGTTGGGGCCTTACTCGGGGGCCCAACAGAGTAGGATTCCTTTGCCAACCGCGATTTGAACCAGCAACCTTCCAGCCACAGATCCTTAATCACAGTGCCACTGCTCTGCCCTTTGTTGAAGTGGCGTTGTTGAACCCCATACTCTGGGTTCTTTCAAGAGACATCTGAATGAAATCAGCCAGATGGGTCAAATGGCCTCCTCTTGTTTGTTACTGTTCTTGTGTATGAGATCCTCTGGTCAGTTAGCTACAGACTACCGCAGGAGTCACATGGGCCGAATGGCCTTACCCATCCATTACATAACATTACTGCTCACTCTAGGCCAGTGTCAGTTTAGTCACCAGTTTTTGTTATCAGTAGTCTCAGTCTTAGTCGAGACGATTACAATGTCGATGATTTTAGTCACATGCTTTTAATTTGGTTTAGTTGACAAAAAATGTCTAAAACCACTCTTACATTTAAAATGTATAAAATGTACTTGTGTTAGTCACATACCAAAATGTTTTAGTCACATTTTAGTCGCATGGTTTAATTCAGTCATATAAAATGTCTAAAGGTTTTAGTTTAATTTTTAGTTTTTGGAATATTAAGGGGAGGCACAGTGGTGCAGTGGTCAGCATTGCTGCCTCTCAGCGCTGGAGCTCTGGATTGAATTCCTGGGGCGCTGTCTGTGTGGAGTCTGTATGTTCTCCCTGTGTTCACATGGGTTTCCTCTGGGTGCTCCAGTTTCCACTGTCCGAAACACCCCGGTAGGTTAATTGGCTTCTCAGAAATTTGAGCCTGTGTGTGCCCTGCGATGGACTGGCGTCCTGTCCAGGATGTACCCTTACTTGTGCCCATAGGCTCTGGCTCCCCTGCAACCCTGAAGTGGATAAAGTGATTAGAAAATGGATATATGGAATACTAAGGAGATTAAGTTATTTCTTTTATTTTAGAATTTAGGCTCTTTGAATTTGATAGCATTTAAATCCATATAATTGTGTGGCAGCTTTTTACTTAACATGTTTAGCAAGGAACAAACATATCACACATCTAAAGAACCTTAACACTCCTGGCGCCTTTTCCCTTTTGTAAAGAGGCTTTGGACATTGATTGGACAAAGCGGATTGCGAACTCCGTGTTCCCCTGCTGCCTCGCTCCTGTGCTCTAGCCTGTTTGGCGGGCGAGCGCGGAGCTCATGCTGTCTCGTGTTGTTGTCGTCAGGGTGGGTACATGGCTGCCAAGGTCTGCAAGCTGGAGGAGCAGTTCAAGGCCGACGCGCCGAAGCAGCAGCAGCAGCAGGAGGGAAGCTGCTCCAGTATCTTCAGAGGAGTGGCCATCTATGTCAACGGGTACACAGGTGAGTCCGCGGCCTCCCAGCCAGTGACGGCACAGAACGTCTTCGGCTTTAGAGTATCGCTTGTTGCCTGAAGCCGCGCCCATGCTACATACAGTGATTAGCATGGAGGAAATGACATTTAGTCTCTCTTTCCAGGTGATGCTTGTCGGCAGAAAAAACAATACTTCAGAAAGAATTGAAAATCAAAAAGTTAGAACCCTCTTCCGGGACACCAATTCCATATTTTTTATACTCTTGAGCATTTTTTTCCTAACCTCTCGTGCTTTTCCTACACCGCCATATCTTTGAAAAATTATAAAGAGCGGAAAATGAAATTGGAAGATGTGCAGGAATCTAAACTTGTCAATCCCACTGTTTGTAATTTCCTTTTCTTAACACCAAACGGAAAAGGGTGTTACAGTTTGTTTACCATCCAGTGTGTTTGTTAGAAAAAAATATAAGAAGGCTTGTAGTTTCATAGGAACTGTGCTCTGTTCTGAAACACATCTTGGTGATGAGCTGTGAGCTTGAGTTTAGAGAGCACTTGAGCCAGACCACCAGATCACTGTGTCCCCCACTTCTGCTCCACTAATATCCCTCTGACACCCCGCTGACACCCTTTTTCACCCCTCTGGTGCTCGTTTACTAGCTCTTCAGCCTGCAGCCCTGTTTCCTGCCTCGCCTCTGTACTCTCCCAACCACTGTGAGCACAGTCATATCACTCTGCA